GCAAAGTGTGGCTAAATCAAGTGATTGATTGCTTGTAAGTGAAAGCAAACAAAAAAAATGAAAATCCTGACAAAGAAAAAACAGCAAATATACCTACATATAGGCTTCCATATAAGCATACTCTTGTATGTGTATCGATATTTCATATGCGTACTTATAATCATATGTACACATGTATAAGTTTTTAGTTTAAATTACATATGAATGTGTGTTTGTATAGCAGAAATAAGTAGAAGTTATTTTTATCTTAAATACTGCTGATATGGGACTAATTAATACAGGTAAATCATCGATTTTATGGTTTCTCTTCTATCAAGACGTGTTTCTCTTCCCATATTTATAGAATAAATTGCACTTTTCGGTTCCCTTTTTTCAGTGTTAATGCCTATATAATAAATTAAATGGCAATTTATTTTGATAAAAATCAAGCACATGAAAAGTAACGGAGTTAGTATGAGAGCTTGAGCCATATTATTAGTCTGTGTAATTGAAAATACATACACATACATCTCTCATATTCTTTTAGGCTTTTTACCTTTGTGTTCTTGGCGACACATCTTCCGGAAATATATTAATAGATTTTTTATTCGCTGATGATTTTTATTAAACTAAGTTTTTTCGGATGATTGAGTTATAATTAGAAAGTAATTCTTCCGTTGTACGTAGTTAGTCTCCAAATGGAAATATTTGCCTTCGAAGTTCGAAATTGATCCTTTTATTGTAAATTATAACGCGTATACGCGAAATGAACTCAATTTCGAACTTAGTAGGCAAATATTTCCATTTCGGAGGTTTATTTCGAAAAACGGAGAAATTACTTTTATACTTATAACTTAATGTGTCGAAAAAAAATTGTTTGCTCCCAAACCCAGAAAAAAGGTTAACCTATACTGTATACGTTATGGTATTATCCAAAAACTGCTAGAAATTATTCACCTAAACTGCTAATACTTTCCTCACTATAGTGCAAATCAACCAGTTAAAATATTATATTTCCCCTGAATTGTGAATACGACAATGAAGCATTTTTTATAAAAAAATGTAATATTATCTGTCACATAATATGAAAATTTTAAAAAATTATGAAAAAATAATTTCATATTCTACCAAAACATTTGATGAGTGTCTTTTCAAAAGGGGATATCTACATCTTAACTTATTTTTCACAAAATGAGAAAACGTTATAAGGGAAATAATAACAGACCTTCTGAAAAGTAATATTTCTATCTAGGAACTATGTCATTACATTGTTCTAATTAATGTTGTAGCTCGACAAAAATACAAAATTCTAAAAAAACAGAATATCCCCTTCTGACACGAAACTTTAATAAAATCTCCATTTGTTGTATACATTTTTGTAAATATCCCCTTTTGTACTTTTTTGTAAACATCTACTTTTTCGTATATATTCTCTCGCAAGGTAAAGTGATATATGGGATTTTTATAATCTTGCAACTTGCTACAAAATATAATAGTTTTGTTCACCCAACGGTTGTTTGTTTCACTTAAAACTAATCGAGATAGATATGAAGTTATATATATATATATATATAAAGGATCAGGATAACAAGACGAGTTGTATTCCGTGTGTCTGTCTGTCCGTAAGAATTTAGATATCTTCATGGCACCTTGTACACGCGTTCCTTGATCGAATCGGGAGGATGAGATGGGCGAAATTGGACCACTGCCATGTCAACAAAACGCCATTAATGGAAAACCTATAAATTGCAATAACTAAGCCGCAAATTAAGACACAAAACTGTAATTTAGTACAAAGAATTGCAATAATAAAGGGCATCTGTGGTTTAAATATTTTAAAAAAGTGGATGTGGCCCCGCCTCTTATATCACCCAAATTTGCACAGAACAAATCATTTGGACACCTCTTGCGACAGTATGAATATAGGTGAATCGGATGATTACCACTACATATATAGTGGTTTTGTAAAAACTACTAAAAGTGCGCTCAATAACTAATGCGCCAGAGACACTAAATTTTACATCGACGATAAGCGTGGCACTCACATATTCACCGTTTCTATTAGGTACTTATATGTGGGTTAAGGGAAATATTGACTCGATTAAACTCATCTTTAACGAAAAGACAAACTTATATCGGAATATTATTCTCTATTAATTTCAATTATATGTCTCACACATTGATATTTTCGGTAAAAAGTCAGCCATAGGTTCTGGGGTTCACATTTTCGATATCTGGGACTTGAATACAAGTATGTTGTTAATGGTATGTGAGGAACCTTAATAGAAAATCCGGTCAATACTACACCTATCTCCCATATACCTATAAATTGAGAAAAATTATCTGAACATATAATATTGGATATACTTTTGTTTAATCCAACAAACCATATCATATTAATAGTTTAGCGCTGAACATGAAAGCAGTCTTAATCTTATATTCCTAATATCTTAGATTCCGATCTTCTGGTGGACGTTTTGCACTTCAACTCTATATATTAAATTTAGCCTCTTCGATTGAGTTTTTGTCAGGTATCATTTGAGGATGATTTTAATATAATTTTCGATGACGGGAAGTAAAATATAGTTATAAAACTAATTAAATGTATGACATATAATATAATTTTATAAAATATCAAATTTAATTGTAATTCATTCATGATTTCGTCGAACAATAAAAGTTGAATTCTTTCGCAACATTTTTTAATATAAAGTTTTGCTACATCTGAAGGTATTTCCTCGGCTTTGATCCTTGCAAGTTGCAAGAATATAAAATGTTTCGTTACACCCGAGCTTAGGTGTTTCTTATATTATATTTTAATTAAAAGTACGAAGCTTTACATTCATGATTTACAATCACAGGCAAGAAGATGCACTGTTATAAGAAAGAGACTCTTTCTGAAATTTATTAAGGTTTCTTACATACTTATTGACAGATAGATGCGGTATAAAGTCAACCGGAAGTTCGAAAATATTCGTTTATATTAGGTATATGGGGTCTAAGGGAAATTTTGATACGATTTTACCAATTTTTGGTACAAGAGCATGTTTCTATCACAAAAATATTCTCCTCCAATTTCAATGCTAGAACTCAGAGGTTGACCGATATGTTCGGTAAAACATCAGCCAAATGCTCAGGGGTCCAGATATTTGGCGTCTGGGATCTTAAAAAGTTATAGCCCGATTTTGACAATTTTTATACTCTCGGAACATGTTGCTACAGAGTATAATAGTTTTGTTCACCTAACGGTTGTTTGTATCACCGTCCGCCTGTGCAAACTGTAACTTGAGTAAAAATTAAGATATCTTTAGGAAAATTGGTGCACATGTTTCTTAGTACCGTAAGACGGTTGATATTGCAGATGGGCAATCGGACTACTGCCACGCCCACAAAACGCCATTAATCAAAAACGAATAAATTGCCAAAAATAAGTACCACAATAAGATACAAGAGTGTTATTTGGTATACAGAATCACATTAGGGAGGGGCATATATAGTTTAAATTTTTAAAAAGTGAGCGTGGTGCCGCCCCTAATAGATTTAATGTGCATATCTCCTAAACCACTCAAGCTATAATAACAAACTTCACTCAGAACAAATGCTTTTAGCACATCTATCGATAATGTGAAAATGGGTGCAATGGGTGCAATCGGGTCACTAAATACGCCAGAGATATTAAATTTTATCTCTGGGCTGGTATAAGATGCCTTTAAAGTAATCGCGTGGCACCGCCCACTTTTAGGTGAAAACCCATATCTTGGGATTTGCTTAATTGATTTCAACCAAATTCGGTACATAACATTCTTCTTATGTTTCTATGTTATAGTGCGTGGGTTGAAATCGGATTACAACCACGCCTATTTCCCACATAACACCCTTTTAAATTCCATCTGATTCTTTCACTTTCCACTATGCAAATCAAGCAACAATGACTGCATCGGGGTAAAACTTTGCGTAAATAATGCGTTTAAAGTATGCCATCTTGTGACAAAAAATTGTCTAAATCGAATCAAAACTGTTCAAGCCCCTAGGTACTGAATATGTGGACCCGAGTGCCTATAGTTGTCTAATTTAAACTCTTGATAATAGTATGTCTTTGTGTCAAAAATGGGTTGAATCGGATCATTACTTCCTTTAATATAAAATTTTGCCAACACCTGAAGTTATTTCCCGTTCTTTGATCCTTGCAAATTGCGAGAGTATAAAATTTTCGGATACACCCGTACTTAGAATTTCCTTAATTGTTGGGCTTAAGATTAAGTACTTCGAGGGCACTACTTGTGCAAAGGTTTATCCTGATATATTTATTGTTGCTTGGCTTGTCTACGAAATAGTGAAAGAATTATTAAATTGTATTATATGAGAAGTAGGAGTGGTTGTATTTCGATTTCGCCCACTGGCACTGTGACATGGAAATGTCATGATAATGTTATCTTTCGAATTTGATTGAAATTGGTCGTGTAGTTTGTGTAGGTAAAGGATCCCACCTAAAGATGGGCGGTGCCACGTTCATTGTTCAGTTTTTATACCTATATCCTATAAAGCTTTTTCCCACCACTTGGCAAAAACAATACAAAACGGCTGATTTTAGCATTATGAATTAAATTCTTTTTGTCAAATTGTTGTTTTTGAGCTATCTACAGAACCTTATATTTATGATTTATGACCAATTTCGAACTATTCGAATCATTGTTTTTTTTAATGTCAGAATCAAAACAAAGTACAATAAAACTATGCAATACTTAACATAGATTCATAACGACAATGTCTTAAATAGTTAAAATGAGATTTAGTTTGAAAAAGTTTTAACCTAAAAGGGGAGAGCGTCATAATTATTTAAACAACTGAAGTAATCAGTGTGCTACCTTTTTGGCATCCTACTTAGCATAATTTTAGGCATTCATTTTGTGCAGTAATGTTACAGTAATATACCATAAATATCGCTGCATCACCTATATTTGGCTCACTAAACATAGAGATAATGCATTTGCATTTATTTCTTTTATCTTCTTCGTTTGCAGTACAATTACCTAATGGAGTTTGATTATCTCCCTAAGTCGGACATCGAGACAGGAGCGCTGAGAACCGGAGAGCAGCTGAAGGATGCTATACGGAATCTACAGGTATGCATGCACCTCTGTTAAGCCACTACTACCGCACAAATATAAGCATTGTTCCCAATTCTTATTTAAATATTGTTTGTTACATTTTAGCGCTTTGGCAACATTCCGGCCACAGGGGAAATAGATGAGGCCACACAAAAACTGATACACCGGCCTCGATGCGGTGTGGGTGACAGCACTCAAACAGCCAATTTCTCGCCAGATAATCTACAATACGGACATCATCGTATGAAGCGCTACGTACTGCAGGGACCCAAATGGGATAAGACGGATTTAACATGGAGGTGAGTGCGATTTATTTATTCTATTTTATGTCAGCTAATCTTGTCCAGAGCAAGGGTACATGAATGCAAACATACTCTTAAGTCCCCATTTAAAAATGTACGCCTAAAAGTATACTTCATATATTAGTAAGCGTGTCTAACGAGTAGAGAGTTTAATGAAATGTGACAGGGTGAACGCGCAATTTAAATTTACAACAAATTGCAATTAAGGCCCCCCCGTTTCAATTTCTCGCCATTTAACGTCCACGGCGCTTCTGAAGTGTACTTAATAATTCTCTTCCCATTTTGAAATTGATTTACCATTCCAATCGTTGTGACATTGGATTTCTGCTTTCTTAGTTGAAAGCTTGTTTATACGTCCATCCGTATCCCTCTTCTAAACGTGCACATTCGTACATGTATTTGAATTATTCCTGTATATATTTATAATTTTTTTGTTCCGTTATTTTTTTTTTTTTGCTCAAGTTTGCAGCAACTGCTTTATTAATTGTATTTCCGTTCTCTTCAGTAGCAAGCATCTTCGACTTTGGTGCTCTGGTTACGCCTTTCACTTCTCAATCCGCTGGCGCCACTCTACACAGAAACACACAGAATGCCCGGACACTCCAGCCTTTATTCATCTTTCAATTAATTCAAATGTCAAACTGAGCGTGTCATGTTAAGCTTTATTTTTATTACACAAATTTCTGAATATCTCAAAATTTATTTGCAAGAGACTTCCGCCAGTTGCCTATAGAGAGACATCAGCAGTGTGTCGTCTGGTTTTGCTTGCAATGTTTTGTGCATAATTTGTGCAGGATTGCAAATTCTTTAGCAACAACAAGTGTGTTTTTATGCAAAATATCTGAAAATACGATTGCTCGCTCCCACAAGCCCCTGGCTTGAGTAACTTGAACAAGGAGAAGTTTCTAGTTGCCTCGATTACTGTTTCTTGTAGCATTCCAAAATCGTTCTTAACTTATTATATTATATTATTACAATTTTTTGTGGAGAATTTTTTGTTCAAAATAAGAAAACTCTCACCACTCCCTGAGCGTTTTTATTCAAAATTTATATATTATTTATATTCAGTGGAAATATTCGCACGTAGTTTTAAAGGCGTACTAACATCGGTAAGAGTTGCAACAGATAAGTCTTTACATTAAAACACTGCTATAACGCACTTTTTATTAAGTTACCGGCATATATTTAAAATTCTTTAAAATATTGATGTCCACTGAAGTTGTAAATAAACTACATCTCCTACTCATCGGCCAAAAGAGGTATTTCACATGTCTATAAGTTGTTGATAATTTTACCAGGAATTTAGAGAGACAGTGAAGGGAGTTATTCAGCATGCCTTGTACATGCTCAAGTTCACTCTTCACAGTTTTTAAGTTCTTTAGCAAATTGAGCGTCATAGCTTGCGATGGGAGTGTTAATTCTTTTGCTGGAAAGTTGATTTTTAATTTAGAATATTTGAGAACTTTGTACTTTAAATAACAAATGGACGAAGAGTTTAACGAATTCATTACTGCAACGTTAGTAAAAACGAATTAATTATTTATTCCGAATATCTCCATTAACCGGCAGCTGGGAGAAAACGATTTGTTTCCAAACTACACAACAAAGCAGCTTGACTATTTTTTTTTGTTGTAGAATACATATTTTTCTATAGGTTCCATTTTCATACATACATGTCAAAATCTTTAGAATCTCGACGAATCTTTTAGTTTCAGTAAACTTCATACACATAGTCTTTGGCAGCCAAGTACTATTAAATATATTAAAACTATTAACCATATACGTTGGCAAAATTACGGAACTTTGAATATAAGGAATTTGCAATGAATTTCCCGGTTACGTAAGGAAAAATAGATGGTAACGGAATTAGTAACTTAATCCTTAGCCCGCGTACAGAGCGGGTTTGTCCACGGAAACTGCTCTGTATAGTCTGGTTACTGACATTGAGGATGCTTTTGTAAACGGGGAAGTGGTTCTATGCGTCTTTCTTAACATAGAAGGAGCATTTGACAAAAAATCCTATTCCAGTATTACCCGTTCACTGGAAAGGAGGCGAGTTAATTCAACCATTATAAGGTGGGTTGATGCGGGTCTCAGAACGAGGTTCGCTGAAACCATATAGACTCATTAATCAACTAGGAACGATAAAGGGATGCCTTCAGGAGAGTGTGCTGTCACCTTTGCTTTGGAGTCTATGTTATTGTTAGATGGGATTCTAAATTTGCCAACTTCCAATGGCATCATCATTCAAAGAGGACTCACCCTAGCAAAAGGATGATCTGTAAACGTTGGACTTAACATACACCCATCGATAACGGTCCTAATTTTTTTCACAAGAAGAAGAATGGAAGAGAATGGAGCGGCATCATGGGCGTCAAGAGTCTCACTCAAAACTGATGAGGAAAAGCTGTCGAAATTGCAGAGGTTACCATGCGCATATATAACTGGTGGCATGTGCACGTGGCCAACCCCTGTATTAGATGTGATTCTGGACCTCACTTCGCTCCCAAAATCTCACTGGGTAGCAAAAGTGAACAGGAAGATTCCATCCTTGAGGAGTACCTTCGCAAGAGCTCGAAAATTGGAGATGGAATCGGGGCTGGTATAGTGGGACCACGTTTGGCAGCATTTATTCAAGCTGAGGTATATTAGCCATTTAGTAGATGTGCACAGATTATTCTAGAGACTATCACGGTTGACCGACGTTGAAATCAAGGTGTAAGCTAATTTGTTCTATACTTCCCTGCGATTTTGCGACGTGGCACCTATATTAGCATTATAATTAAATAACTAAGTAGGAAATTCTCACTTCTCGGTTGATATTTTTGCCTTTATGGAGAAGAAGCCTGCGTACTTGCACTAATAAATAAGCCTGAAGTTCCACCAACCTTTCCTACAAATTTAAATCAATCCGTGAAAAAGATTAGTCCCTGTCCTCCAGCCGTTCCTCACCAGTTATGTAATCGTCTAGATACCCAGATCCTTCTGGGTGCCTGCTAACAGCTTTCACATCCATACACTTACCGGTTAAGTCAACGTGTGCGCTATGGGGTACACAAACAATGGATTGAGTGTCAAAAGTGCTCCCTATCCTTTCATAGAATCAAGAGACTTGCTTTGGTAAAAGGAGCATTATTTAATAAATATATCAAATTATTATTGAAATAGTGTTCGACGATTGTTACTTTTGAAGACGCAGATGCTAATTAATCTGCCCTTTGTTGTCAACTAATCGGCCGATGGCAAATAATATCACAAAATATGTAAGCATTAAAAAAAATATTTTACTAATTTAAACATAAATACACGGCGCGTCACCAGGTTGGCACACCTTCATCAGCCTAAAACAATTGCTTCTGATGTTTTTATACTCTCGCAACCTGTTGCTACAGAGTATAATAGTTTTGTTCACCTAACGGTTGTTTGTATCACCTAAAATTAATCGAGTTAGATATAGGGTTATATATATATAAATGATCAGGATGAAGAGACGAGTTGAAATCCGGGTGACTGTCTGTCCGTCCGTCCGTCTGTCCGTCCGTCTGTCCGTCCGTCCGTGCAAGCTCTAACTTGAGTAAAAATTGAGATATCTTTATGAAACTTGGTAGACATGTTTCATGGTACCGTGAGACGGTTGGTATTGCAGATGGGCGTAATCGGAAAACTGCCACGCCCACAAAACGCCATTAATCAAAAACAAATAACTTGCCATAACTAAGCTCCGCAATAAGATACAAGACTGTTATTTGGTACACAGGATCACATTAGGGAGGGGCATCTGCAGTTAAAATTTTTTTTTTAAAGTGGGCGTGGTCCCGCCTCTAATAGGTTTAATGTGCATATCTCCTAAACCGCTAATGCTATAATAACAAAATTCACTGGAAGCAAATGTTTTTAGCACTTCTATTGACGGTGTGAAAATAGTTGAAATCGGGTGGCAACTCCGCCCACTCCCCATATAACGGTACTGTTAAAAACTACTAAAAGCGCGATAAATCAAGCACTAAACACGCCAGAGACATTAAATTTTATCTCTGAGATGGTATAAGATGACTTTATAGGACAAAATTAGACAGTGGGAGTGGCACAGCCCACTTTTAGGTGAAAACCCATATCTTGAGATCTGCTTAACCGATTTCAACCAAATTCGGTGCGTAACGTTCCTTTCATGTTTCTATGTCATAGTGCGAAAATGGGCGAAATCGGATTACAACCACGCCTATTTTCCATATGACACCATTTTAAATACCACTTGATTCTTTCACTTTCCACTATGCAAATCAAGCAACAATGATTATATCGGCGTAAAACTTTGCGTGAATAATACGTTTAAAGTATGCCACCTTGTGACCAAAAATTTTCTAAATCGAACCAAAACTGTTCAAGCCCCTAAGTACTAAATATGTGGACCCCAGTGCCTATAGTTGACCTTCTACCGAAAATATCAGTCAATCCACAAAGAAATCTCAAACGAGTATACCATTTGACTTTGCGAGAGTATAAAATGTTCGGTTACATCCGAACTTAGCCCTTCCTTACTTGTTATTACTAACTTTATACTATTTTATTGTTTTCTGGTTTTCTCATCTTTCTAAGAACAATCGCTGGTAAAGAAAACATGCGATAAAAATGTACCGTTATATGTTTTTTGTTATTTTCTATTCTTTTGAGTTGAAAAGTGTGCATTAGTTTGCGTTATCAGGTAGCACATGCAATTTGAATTGCATTTACCTTCGGAGTTTGAATACGTATTGACACCAAATTTTTTGAATGGCTTAAGGAAAATCGCTATCTGTAGAGAAAGCAATAATCGAAGCTTATGAAGAGATACAGTTTTCAATGATTAAAATATCAAAAAAAGTTGTCAAAAGTCTAAAAGTTATATATCATTTTTTGCGTAATAAGTCGGAGTACAGTAGAAATAAGAAAGGCGGTAACATCAAAGTGATTTTCAATGCCAACAAGAAAGCAGTTTTGGTAAAAGCATCCAATTCTCA